CAGCTACAAGCGAGTCTGTGCAAGTGCTGAGTTCGTAATGCATCTTTATCTGCTGTGTCTCGGTTCACCTTCAGGCCGCCTCACCTCGGCCGAGAGCTCGTGTGCAAGGAAAGCAAGAAGAACTTCAAAGCTACTGTAGCCATGAGCCAGGATTTTCCTCTAGGCATCGAGTCGTAAGTACATCCCATCCTCCTCAGATCTCTCCTCAGTGCTGCTTGATCCACGGAATACCCCTGGGGTTTTCAGAAAAGCGTTGAGTAAAGATAAAATAATTCAGATAATAAGGCCCAGAACATGAAAGGTTTCACTTGTTAAGCCCTGATCAAAAACTCCACAGAAGCAACAAGAAAAAAAACATTAATGAACAGAAGACAAATTAACTTTTTTTTTTTTAATAAAAAATAACTAACAATGACTCCTTCTGTTTCTGCCTCACTTTATCTGTAAGCAGTTGAGCGGTTACCTATAACTTCCAACTTTTGAAGTTCATTTTCCAGTTAACTATTATATTAAATAAAATTAACTTTTGAAAAACTAGTCTTCCTAGAACTTTCCTAAATCCTAAAATGTCTGTTAAAACATAGAGACAGATTGATCATTCAGTTACCTCCAGTTAGCGTTGAAGTTTGTCTTTCAGAGGAACTGCACTTTAATTCTCACACTAACGCCACGTACGTTGCTGTGCTTTTATTTGGTGTAAAACGCTAAAAGTAAAAAATATGTGGTTTCCTTAAACTACAAATTTGTTTCACTTTCAACGTAAACGGTGTTCTCATCGACTTATAGTCTGTAAGTCGGTCGTGGAGAACAAGTAAAGTAGATTTGTGAAAAGCACAGTTTAAAAGATGCATGCGTGTTAAAATGAGTAAATGATGATGTAAGGTTGAAGCAGGCTGTGTTACGTAAGAAAATTGCTTTATCTCCTCTGCTGAGCGAACCTTAATGGGGACATTAAAAACTCATTCTTTATCACGGTTAATGGCTTTTTAATGTCATTTTTCCTCTTCACATTTTCTGCTTTGTTTTGTTGAAAATATATTTACTACTTTTATAATGTTCAGTTTAATGGGAAAAAATCACCAGTGCTGCGGTTGGAGAAAAATGGCTTTTTCTTATAGCAGATGATATTATCTGAAGTCTTGGTGCTCGAGGTTCTTTGTAAGTTTTCCTTCTCCAGCTTAACTGTACCACATAAAAGTATTCCCATTATTCAGGCCATTTATTTATTTTTTCTTTACATTTTGTCACACTACAGTCACAAACTTTAATTTTTTGATAGCACAAGAGAAATTAGTACATTATTGCGAAGTCACTAATGTGCAAGTTAAGTTTTTTTTTTTTCATTTCAGAGCTTTAATATGATTTGATAATTAAGATACACTGATTAGCATTTTCAAGGAATAGATTTTAGCCGATTCAAATTCCTCTTTGTTTTCCAGCTTTCCTGCAATGAGCGAATATAGATCATTTATAGTAAAGAGTGCTTGACACGGCAGTTGTTGGTTGAACTTGTATTACAAAACTAAGTGGAAGTAATTGGTAATTGACTATTTATTTATTTTTATGCCAGCAAATGGCAGCAAATGTGCCGTGATTATCAGTCACCGTCTGGCATAAATGTAGAATGTTTTAAGACAGATTTTGCTTTTGCTCCAGATGCACACACTTAAATATCCCCAGGTTTTGTAGCGCTTCCTAATCTTTGCTTCTTTTTTTTTTTCTTTTTTTTTTTTAAAAAAAGGGTGGCCATTCTTTGAAAGTTCAGTTCTGTATAAATGTAAAAGTTGACCGTACAAGATTTTCTCTGCATTCTCCATCTCTGAAAGCTAACCACAAAAAATGGCTGTCATCTCTTTGCTGCTATTGTTGCGTTTCGCACTCCTACTTTTATTAGTTGACCGATTAAATGCCTATCCCGCTTCTTTCCGGTGCATTCTCGGTTAAACTTTACTGTCTTGTTTTGAAATTTCTGAATAACGCTGCTTAGAACTATCTTTTCCTCCATATTATTTTTCAACTTTTTTTTTTTTTCAATCTCCTTCATGTTCATTTATGGTCTGTGCATTAAAAAAAAAAACCAAAAACAAGTGCTGATTCCTTTTGTTCTGCCTCCAGGTTACTAAACGTGTTGGAAGTCATTGCTCCATTCAAGCACTTCAACAAACTCCGAGAGTTTGTTCAGATGAAACTTCCTCCGGGGTTTCCAGTCAAACTCGGTATGTGTCGACCTACCTCTGCACCGGCTGCGAGTGGGCGAGCTTCAGGGGGAATGATCACAGAAAAAAAACATGCTTTTTTTTGTCTGTTTTTTTTATCGTTTTTCTTCCTCTTGTCTCACAGACATCCCCGTCTTCCCGACGATCACAGCGACTGTCACCTTTCAGGAGTTCCGCTACGACGAGTTTGACGAGTCTATTTTCTTCATCCCTGCCGAATACAAGGAAGATCCAAGCCGCTTTCCGGACCTCTGACCTGTCAACGCGTCCAGCTTGGGAGAGTGAGAGCAGAACAGAGGACGCTGGTCTGACTCTGAATGCATATTAACTATTTATTACTATTATTTAAAAAAAAGAAAAACAAAGGAAAGAAAATGGGAGGGCTGCTCTTATTGATCATTTAATCCAAGAGGATTTGACGGAGCGCCGTGTCAGCTATAGATGAATATCTGCAAATGTTTTTTTTTTTTTGTGTGAAATGATTGATGGCTTTCGTTGTACTTGCTGTTTATACACAGAGCAGGTAAAGCTGCTGCTCTGTGCTGCTGTGCGCCATTTTTAAAGCTGTCAAGTCATTAATATTTCAGTATACTCGAAGCTGCACTCACCTTCAGAAAAATGTATATAACTCTTCTCGTTTTTGTTCACGACATTTAAAAGAAGAAACCCCCCCCCCCCCCCACAAATATAGAGCTATCCTTAAACTGAGCTTACTGGTCATTTATATATAGCATATTATATATCTATAAACTCAATGGAGTAACACTGTGTAGCAATACATTTCCAGTACTTAAGAATGTTTTTACCCACCTGGGACAAGGTTTAGTATATATATATGTATATATATAAACCTCAAACAGTTTGATATCAAAGCCTTTTCCCTGTGCAGGACACGGCCTCCTGCGTTTTCAGGTCTGCTCATGTTACCTCTCAGCCGTCTCTGCGTTTTGTTGTGATAGTATGAACCCCTCCCGTGCTCCGTACGAGTGAATACGTCTACTCTGTTCCGTGTGTGTTTGTGTGTGGGAGAACCCAGATTGGGGTATCAGGTAAACAGTTTGTAGTCTTAATACTGCACTGATATTTAAAGGCATGCTATGGCTGTTGGCCGCCAGGATCAAATGCATCCTGATGCTACGTTATCGAAGAGTTTGTTACTGTACAGTATTTGCAGACACGCGGACATTTAGATTGGGGAGGTGAAAAGTTAACACTAACACTTTCGAACAACTTCTAGCGATACACATGTGATCCCTTTGACAGTCTGCAAATAATGTTTCTTTTTTTTTTTTTTTTTCTTACAAGTATACGTGTATATGAATTTAAGGAGTGGAAAATAAGCTGTGAAAAATCAAACTGGATGTCAGTATTCAGACAGGAAATGATGTGATCCATCAAGTTGTTGCTGGCTTCAGCTATTCTGTACCGCAACCATACCTACTTCACATCCCTTTAAATAAAGCACCAGCATCATGTTTCAACTGCACTTGTGCAAATGTCATTACTCCTCCTTGATGCAGGTGGTGAAATGCAGATCTGCGAAGGAATCGGTTTTGAAGTCTGAAGTTGTCAAGGAGAGTGATTAACATCCAGCATCTCCTCAAACTTGCACTGAAGACCCTCAAGAACTAAATGGCAATGCCAGATAAAGTGCTTAAAATGTTTCCCCTTCATTTTCAAATCATCATAAGCTCTAGGCAAAAACTACATTTTTAAATATAGTTTCTTTCTACTCAAGTACAAGAGGCTCTGGTTCAGCTAGTGGTTAAACAGGTAATTTCATACAAAATAAATCTAATTTCAACCAAGAGGCATGTCTTATGTGAAAGTTAGATTAAAGTAAGTGTCATTTAAACTATCAGTGTGGTGCTGTTTGGGTCAAAGGTCACATGTGTAATTGAAGAGTTGCGCAACAGTTTTTAACCCTTGAGCAAAGCCATTGTTAAGAAGTGACTAAGGCTAAAGAACCCAATAAAACTTTGCTCTGAAAATGGAGATTGCACTTTTAACTACTGAATTGGAAGCATTCCACCATATTACATTGTACAGAAAAGCAGTAATCAGCTTAGTCAAAAAGTAACATTTTTCTATTTCAAATCGTATTACCTGCATTGGTTAATGCATTCCAGTGATTTTTATATTTTCAACATAGAAAACACTTTTGGATTAAATATCACTAAACTCTTGCTATGCCATGTTTGATTCTGATGCATTACTGTAGCAATACATCAACCAATAAGCACTATATCATATTTTGACCGTTTTTGACTAGTACTTTGAAAATCAGTTCCCTGAAGGATGGGATATGTTGAAACATTGAAATCATTCAAACAGGGCTTTGTTCAGGTACAAAAAATATCTGTTCTCCTTTTAAGTAACTTGGTGAACCAACATATTTTTGCACAGAGAGGAAGCTGAAGAAAACGGACAACTCGACTCTTAGCTCTTCAAACAGGATTTATTATATAAAAGAAATTCTTGATAAAACACTTGTAGGTCAGAAGTAAGATGCAACTGTTCTGTGAAGAAGCGGGAAAGACGCATACACCACAACACTAAAAAAAGATACAATACATAAAGCAACAAATTTGAAAACACGACCTCAATAGTAGTAAAGCAAACCTACTTCCAGTTTAAACTAATTACATCTGTGGTGGCAAGGGGATAAATGTGTACTATCGACAAAAGAGAAATGAAAAACGAATTATTAGGCAAACAACGCTGAAATATACATTTTCAAAAACGACAGACTTGTTTCTGTACGATAAACAGGGTTTTGTTTTGTTTTTTCCAAGCACTTCACATTTTAGATTTACCCAAGTGGGGGAAATTTTGTAGAATGTTTCTAACCAAAATAAGTGGGATACATTGGGATGAAACAGCATTCAGTCGCTGACATCCATGTCTTCTTCGTGGCGATCATCAGCGCCGTTAACTTTGGCCTGCTTTACGAGCCGGGTTGAGCCGTTTCCCTCCACAGACTGAGGAGACATGGCAGAGTCGTCTGAATCCTTCCTCTCCTCCCTTTCCTTCTCGCTGTCATAACCTTGTTCCTCTTCATCATAATCTCTAGTGATCTGTATGACAAAAAAAATATAAGACAAAAACAAAACATTGGGTCACTGGATGTTTTCTACGCAAGCTGACAGTAGAACCGATTCCCATAGTTTCAGAATAAAGTTTCTGCAGATACAAAACAAACCTTAATATCTCCTTTGTCTCCATCTGATTTTCTTTCCCGCTCCCGCTCTTTGTCCTTACTTTTCTTTTTCTTGCTAGTAGAGCGTTCTCGTTCCTCGCGAACGCGTTCCTTATCACTCCTGCGTTCCCTCTCTCTGTCCTTGTCCCTCTTTTTTTCCTTCTTGTGCCTGTGCAAAGTAGAGAGAAAATCCCAATGAAACTTCAACACGGGCAACATAATTCTAAGGAAAATTAGTGTGGTCATGCAATGAAACCTGACATGATTAAACTAGGGATTTTCCACCTTTTTAATGCAAAAACACCGTCTCCATAGTCAACTTTCTAAAGCTCCCCAGTTATTTACATTGATTTGAAAATATAAAAGTGCTACAGAAGAAAGAGAAAGACAAAAGGAAAGAAGCATGGAAGGAAAAATATACAAGAAAAATAAAATCTTAATAATGAAAACATTTTCCCAGTTTCTTATTTCATTTGTCCCTAATTATTGAGCCTTTAAATTCCACACTTTGCAATATTTTGTAGACCGTCAAGAAGACCTGTCAAACATCACAGTACACTAACCTTCGAGGGGAAGGAGAGGGAGAAACTCTCCTTTTAGGAGACTTCTTTGGAGATCGGCTGGCGGTGCGACTTCTCCTGCGCCTCCTGTGGAGCAGATCAGAAGGGTCACTGGCATAAAGAGTTAAATAAGCCCAAGTATATAGGAAAGGTATAAAGGCTGTAAAAATGTATGGTTTCAAAACAGTTACAAATGTCTTAATTCTTTGGTTTAAACCAAATGATTCTCTGGCCTCCTGTTGCTATCCACTGAAAGGCAGCTGGCTGAAAATCAGCTTCTACACTTTTCTCCTGTTTGCTATGAAACATTTCTGATAAAAAAAAAAAGGAACAAAGAATAGTTATAAGGACACTTAAATATAACCAACCATGAGCTCTATGAGCAGATAGCTCAGCCTATGAGCAAATCTGGCTAATTTCAGGGTGTTATATTTGTGTTACTCTACAAATAGGGGAAAAATATCATTATGTGTAATACACTGTTAAACTACCACTGAATTTAGAGTATGTTTGTTTTATTGCTAAGGTCAATCTTAGCAGTCTTAAATAGAATTAGACAGTTTTTGTTTACTTTCTAAGAATCATAAGGTGAAACTAGAAAATTCCTGCAGAAATTTTGAGGGGCATGCCAAAGTGTGCCCGTCGGCTTGGAAACCAGCATTCTGATGCTAAAAATTAGCATTAATGCTAAAGAAAGCTGCAATGTAGTCAATAACCTGTGGCGAGTCAGAAGCATGTGGACTAAGTTCTACCTGTACCATTAAGCATGTTAAAATGAATGCATAATCTAAAATTAGCCAAAATGCTAATTTTAGCATCAGAATGCTGGT